ACCCCAAACCTTAGCTCTACATGTAACTTGATTTCATTGTTTCTGTCCCTGTTCAAATCAGAGAGCTAACTGCTGCATGTTGTGTACAAGGAAGAGTATCTCATCTCCCACACTTTAAATTAATTTCCCGACAGCTACTTGCTATTCCCCTTCCAGTCACACAAGTTCAACTATAATAAACCGTTCCCACAACAGCAATTCTATCAACAGAAAGACACCAAAAATAAAGATGCAATTTTATAAAAAGGATAAATCTACGAGACTGTCTCTCCAATTAGCCAGTAAAATGCTGGACAGAGCTGGGCTCTGGTGGCTCACACCTGTCATCCTAGCTACTCAGAAGGCTGAGATCTGAGGATCATGGTTCAAAGACAGCCCTGGCAAGAAGGTTCATGAGGGCTAGGAATGTGGCTTAGTGGCAGAGTGCTTGCCTAGCATGCATGAAGCTCTGGGTTCAATTTCTCAGTACCACATACACAGAAAAACCTGGAAGAGGTGCTGTGGCTCAAGTGGTAGAGCACTAGCCTTGAGCACAGAGAATCTCAGGGACAGTGCGTAGGCTGCACACTGTCCTTGAGTTCAAGCCCCAGGACTGGCAAAAAGAAAGTTCATGAGACTTATCTCCAATGAACTACCAGGAAACCAGAAGTGACACTGTAAGTCAAAGTGGTAGAGCACAAGCCTTGAGCGAAAGAGCTCAGGGACAGCTGGGCGTTGATGACTCACCCCTATAATCCTAGCTACTCAGGAGGCTGAGATCTGAGGATCGTGGTTCAAAGCCAGCCCAGGCAGGAATGTTCCTGAGACTCATCTCCAATTAACCATCAGAAAACCAGAAGTGGCCCAATTGGCTCAAGTGGTAGATTGTGAGCCTTGAACCGAAGAGCTCAGGGACAGTGCCTAGGCCCAGAGTTCAAGACCCACGACCAACCAAAAAAAAAAAATTCAGATTCAGCACCCAGGCCCTGAGTTCAACCCACAACCTACCAAAAAAAAAAAAAAAAAAAATTCTGGACAGGAGGTGTGGCTCACCACACCAGTGGTGAGCAAAGAAAGTTAAGGAAGAATGCAAGGGCTAGCACTGGAAAAATAAAATCCAAGCAACACATACACACCAATACATACACACAAAATGTATGTGTACGTGTGTGAATGAAAATGAACCCTCAAAGGTGAGTCTTTAGAAGCAACCAATAATCAAATAAAGCACATAGCAATGATGCATAAATTAGAAATTATGACTGTGAGTTGTCCCTCTTAAACAAACCATGCATGCTCATTGAGCCCAGTGAAGCAGTCAACATAAGCCACCCGACACATCAGAGTTGAAATTCTGGAGGTTTTAATGTAAAGAAAATAGAACAAATTTTGTACTCAAACCATTCAAAACCCAAGTCGCAATTTTTAATGAAGTACTAGAGACTGAATGTTTTCCTCTTGGAACCAGAACCTTTGGTCCTTTTTCTCATTAAACTGCTTCTTATTCTGGCCCAAGTGGAATAACACACATCAGGTAATAACCAACTGTCATCTGTATGAATGAATCTCTGTCAATCATGGACTGCCTAGTGATTGAATACTCTATTACCCTACCGAACAGATTTTGAGAAAAATATGGATGTCTTCCAAAGAGACCCACAAACTTGGTTCATCAAAAATTTTAAACATACACCAAACTGTCAAATGGCCTAATTCTCTCTCATCTTACCAACCACCATACAGATAAAAGAGAATAACTTTTAGGGCTGGGATGTAGCTCAGTGGCAAAGCGCTTGGCTAGCAAGTGCAACGTCCTGGGTTCGATCCCCAGTACCAAAAAAGAAAAGACAAAAATAAAAAAAAAGAGACTCAAGAGAATAACTTTTATCAACTTTTCCACAAATGAAAATGGCTCATAAGGTGCAAGTTATACATGATTTTTTAATTGCATGTAAGCTGAGTAATCACACATATCTTCATCCCTTTATACTTTCAACATTCCCAATTTCCTGGCAGTTCATTGAAGATAAAAGTCTCACGAACTTTACTTTTTTTTTTTGGCCAGTCCTGGGGCTTGAATTCAGGGCCTGGACATTGTTCCTGTGCTTCTCTGTGCTCAATGCTAGCACTCTACCATTTGAGCCACAGTGCCACTTGCAGTGTTTTCTGTTTGTGTGGTACTGAGGAATGGAACCCAGGGCTTCATGCATTGCACATCTCAGGCCAGTGCTCTGCCACTGAGCTGCCCATAAATATTTCCTGTCTTCTTGCTCTCTCCTCAAAACCCCTTTCTCATGTCAGTCACAGCCATTTTCTTCTTTATTATTATTTGTTAGTACTGTAGTTTGAACTCAGGGCGTTGTACTTGGTGGGCCGGGGCTCTACCACATGAGCCATATTTCCACCTCTAGATATAATTGTGTGTGTGTATGTGTGTGTGTGTGTGTGTGTGTGTGCTGGTCATGGGTCATGAACTCAGGGCCGGGACACTGTCCCTGAGCTTTTTATTTACTTTTTTCTAGTCCTGGGCTTTGAACTCAGGGCCTGGGCACTGTCCCTGAGCCTCTTTGTGCTCAAGGCTAGCCCTCTACCACTTGAACCACAGCACTACTTCTGGTTTTTGAGTGGTTAATTGGAAATAAATGTCTCACGGGAACTTTTATGCCTTGACTGGCTTTGAACCATGATTCTCAAACCTCAGCCTCCTGAGTAGATAGGATTATAGGAATGAGCTGCCAAAGACAGCTATGCCTGAGCTTTTTTGCTCCAGGCTAGCACTCTACCACTTGAGCCACAGCTCCACTTCTGGCTCTTTTGGTAGTTAATTGGAGATAGGAGTCTCAAGGACTTTCCTGCATTGGTTTGGCTTTGAACCGTAATCCTCAGATTTCAGCTTTCTGAGGAGCCAGGATACTAGGCATGAGCCACCAGCGCCTGGCTTCTTGTATTTTTTGATGACAAAAGTTGTCTTACATATTGTGAAATACTTTTCTGTATTACGTTAACTACTGTTAAACTAATGTAAATATCCAGTTGTTTTAGAATTCAAGCATCAAGAAATTACTAATGTAAAACATTTTCATATCAATTACACTCACATAAATTATATACTTAGAAATTATACACTTATGACCTATGTACACAATCATACAAATTACATGTGTAGAAATTTAGGTATACATTTTTTTTGGTCTGATTTGGGGCTTGAACTCAGGGCTTGGGTGCTTCTCCCTGAGCTCTTTTGCTCAAGGCTAGCACTCTACCACTTTGAGCCACAGCACCACTTCTAGTTTTCTAGTGGTTCATTGGAGTTAACAGTCTCATGGACTTTCCTGCCCAGGTTGGCTTTGAACCATGATCCTCAGTTCTCAGTCTCCTGAGTAGCTAGGATTACAGGCGTGAGCCACCAACACCTGGCGTATGTATACATTCTTGATCATAAATATAAATTCTCAAACTAAGAATTTAGTACTTCATTACTTGAAGTTTATGAAATATGCCACTGGAACCAACAAGATTATGAAATAATTAACTCGTAGGTAAAATTGGCTAAAACTTCTTGAGATATTCACATACTATTTATTATTTTGTTTAGAGACAAGTCTCAAGAATTTTGGCCAGGCTGGTCTGAAACTCATGGCTGAAGTGTCCCTCCTGCCTCAGGTTTCTGAGCAGCTGAGACTACAAGAATGTGCCACCACACCTGGTTATTCACATAATTTTTAATCCTGATGGGGTTGAGATTAGACAAAGTGAACAAATCTGAAAGACTAGGTCAAATGTTTCAAATCTACCTTAAAGAGTAAAGATTTATTTTTGAAGCCCCGAATTTTAGAGATGTAATATCAGAGATCAAGGGATGTAGTTCAGTGGTAGAGCCTTGAGTGAAAGAAAATAAATGAAAATACCAGATGATGCAGTGTGAAATTTAGAGTAATTATGTTCCCTGGTACAGAATAGAGGAAGAAATTTTTTTTTACAACTTTCATTCACCATAGTTCACTACGAAGCCAGATATTTCATATATTTAGGAAATATACCATATATATATATATATCTGTAGTGTCATCAAATATGTTCAAAACTAGAAAATGTTAATTTAAAAGTACTATGCTAGACATAATAATATAAAAGCCAAAGATATCAATAAAATATTCTATAAAGAATATGTCTGTCTGACATGATTCCTTTTTTTGGATGATAAAAATGTGCTTATAGAATTTAATATCAGCATAATCACAAATTACAGATCATTGGGGGAAAACATGATCATCAGGTTTTTCATTTGAATTAAATAAAAATTTACCATCAGAACTATTTTTGGTATAAAAGGTGATCTGATTCAAAAGTGTATAGCAAAGAACCTGAGTTTTTGTTGTTTTTTTTTTAAGAATAGATCCTTTTTAAAAATCCCAGTGGCTCATGCCTGTCATCTTAGTGACTCAGAAGGCTGAAATCTGAAGATTAAGGTTCCAAGCCAGCCTGGGTAGGAAAGTCTGTGAGACTCTTATCTCAAAAAAAAAAAAAAAAAGAAAAAAGAAAGAAAGAAAGGGAGAAAGAGAAAGAAAGAAAGAAAAAGAGGCAGAGAGAGAGAGAAAGAAAGCTGGAAGTGGAGCTGTGGGCTCACGTGGTAGAGTGCTAGCCTTGAGAAAAAAAAATAATAAAAGCTCAGGGATATTATCCAGGAACTGAGTTCAAGCCCTGGGATTGGCACATCAAAATAAAATAATAATAATAAATAATAATAAAACGCTGGGCATCTGAATTCTACTGGCATTAAAATATTCAAATAGAAATATTAATAATTCTTTTTTTATGGGGGGGGTCCGGCTGTGGGGCCTGAACTCTGGGCCTGGGCGCTGTCCCTCAGCTCTTCAGCTCAAGGCGAGCACTCTACCACTTGAGCCACAGCGCCACTTTTGGCTTTTCTCTTTTTGCTTATGGGGTGCTGAGGAATCGAACTCAGGGCCTCAGGCATGCAAGGCAAGCGCTCTACCACTGAGCCACCTTCCCAGCCCCAGAAATATTAATAATTCTGAAATGACCTTTTGCCACTGGTGATGAGTTTAGCCAAAATACTAGAGGAAGCATTAAAGAATGAAGACTCTCCGACTAGAATAGGGGAGAAGGTTCAGGTAAAAGTTAAAGGATGACTAATCATCTCCATCTTCAAAGTGCAGCACGTAACTGAGTGGCAAGTGTTTTCTGTGTGAAGCAGCCAGTGCGTGGAGGCGTGGCCCTTGGCCATGGGGTGGGGCGTGGGAGGGGGCGCTGCCGGGCTTCTTATTTCTCAGGGGATCTTTCCTCTGCGGCGGCCTCCTTCTTATGGAGGAAGACGAACAGCGACTCCAAAGTGCCATCCCCGCTCTGCTGTGAAAAGCAAAGGAATGTGGCCCAGAAAAATCCACAGAGTCCAGTGTAGGCTGTCCTCCAGTGCACGGGGACAAGGCTGAAGTTGGTCAGCTGGAACACACAGGAAGAGTCTGTTAGCCTGCCAGAAGCCCAGGCCGTGAGCTAGCAAGCCGGGGAGGTTTGGGGCTGATGGTTGTGGTTGATTTGGGTTTTAGGGTGTTTTCGTTCTTTGGGGGGTTTTTTGTGATTTTTTTTTCAATGTCTCACCATGCTGGGGGCTACATCTCCAGCCCCAGATTCTAAGTCATTTGAAACTTACCTGAACAAAAGGCCAGTACATGAGACCACTCTGGAAGAAAGAAAACCTTTTATTAGCACGCTTTCTAAGTCATTCAAAATAAGCACACCGTTCAGTCTATATCAAAACAAAACAAAGCAAAAAAAAAAAAAAGACAGGTTGTATTCCCAGGCAGTATTACATTTCCAACTAAGCTGATTAAATTAACTACTTAAAACCTCAAAGGTGGGGCTGGGAAGGTGGCTCAGTGGTAGAGCACTTGCCTTGCATGCCTGAGGCCCTGGGTTCGATTCCTCCACACCACATAAGCAGAAAAAGCTGGAAGTGGTGCTGTGGCTCAAGTGGTAGAGCACTAGCCTTTAGCTGAAGAGCTGAGGGACAGCACCCAGGCCCAGAGTTTAGGCACCATGACTGGCAAAAAAAAAAACCCTCAAAGGTAAAGAGCTGGGGGAAAAGCAATTGGCCCAATATTGTGTGTGTGTGTGTGTGTTTGCGTGAGTGCACTGGTACAAGGACTTAAACTCAGGGCCTAGGCCCTGTCCCTTAGCTTTTTTGCTTAAAATTGGCACTTGAGCCACAGTTTCAGTTTTGGCTTCTGGTGTAAGTTAACTGGAGATAAGATTCCTGCTATGGTTGGCTTCAAGCCTCAATCCTCGGATCTTAGCCTCCTGAGTAGCTAGGATTACAGGTTTGAGCACATAGCACCTGGCCCAAGACACTTTTATTAGTTATATTCATAAGTGCAGAATGAAGTCAACTGGCACCAGTACCAATTCCTTCCAGAAAGTATCACATAGGAGGTTGGAGGTATGACTTAGTTGGTAGAGGGCTAGCCAAGGAGTGAAAATGTCAGGTCTTGGGCCTAAAAACAAAGAAAACAAAAGGAAAGAAAAGAAAAGAAAATGTATATATTTACATTGTAATTTTCCAGTAAGCATAAGCAAATGAGGCAGAAATATGTTTATAAAAACAGGATCAGCTGGACACAGTGGCTCATGCCTATAATCCTAGCTACTGAGGGGGCTGAAATATGAGGATCACGGTTCAAAGCCAACCTGGGAGTTGGGCACCAGTGGCTCACACCTGTCATCCTAGATACTCAGGAGGCTGAGATCTGAGGATCGTGGCTCAAAGCCAGCCCAGGCAGGAAAGTCTGAGAGACTCTTATCTCCAATTAACCACCAAAAAACCAGAAGTAGCACAGTGGCTCAAATGGTAGAGCACCTGCCTTGAGCTGAAGAGCTCAGGGACAACACCCAGGCCTTGAGTTCAAGCCCCAGGACTGACAACCCCAAATCAAAACAAAACGACACAACAGCAACAAAAAAGATGGAAGATGGTTGCTAGGATAGGGAAACCAGCCTGAAAGACTGGCCAAACCTGAGACACCTGAGTATGCTAAATCAACACAGTAAGGAATTATAAACCACTGATTAAAAAAAAAAAAAAAAGGAAACAAGCATAAAAAGGAATGCCGAGGCAGCTCGGAGAAAGCATGCTCACATTGGAAGGCTGAGTGCCACCTGGTATGTGCGGATGTGGCAGAGGTAGAAACTAACCCCTGCAACACCACGTCCAGCTACTGATTGAGATGGGGTCTTCCATTTATCCCTAGGCTGGCCTGGAACCACAATTCTCTTCTTCTCCAAGGATACCTGCTTCCACAGCAGTGAAGAGACATGAGCTAGCACACCCTTGCTAGGAAGCAATATCATGATTGATTTTTTTTTTTTTTTTGGTCAGTTGTGGGGCTTGAACACTGGCCCTGGGCACTGTCCCTCAGCTCTTCAGCTCAAGGCGAGCGCTCTACCACTTGAGCCACAGCGCCACTTCTGGTTTTCTGGTGGTTAATTGGAGATAAGAGTCTCACGGACTTTCCTGCCTGGGTTAGCTTAGAATCATGATCCTCAGATCTCAGCTTCCTGAGTAGCTAGGATGACAGACAAGAGCCACCAGCACTTGGCTTATGTTTTTGTTGTTGTTAAGGCTGAGGAAATACTGCTGGTTAATAGGCAGTAAAGAAAAATGACAAGTACCAGCCATTTCTGAGGCTAGACTGGGCCTTAGGTCAGAGAGAAAAGGGATGAGATAAAACTGGTCCAGTGGGGAAAATGGGATATGGATGGTAAGTTAAAGTATCTTTGTAACATTTGAAATTGCAAACTCTAGTAACCTAGAGAACGGAGGCTGGGTAAGAAATATTCTTTTTTTTTTTTTTTTTGTCGGCCGTGGGGCTTGAACTCTGGGCCTGGGCGCTGTCTCTCAGCTCTTCAGCTCAAGGCGAGCGCTCTACCACTTGAGCTACAGTGCCACTTCCGGTTTTCTGGTGGTTTATTGGAGATAGGAGTCTCACAGTCTCTCCTGCCCGGGCTGGCTTTGAACCGCGATCCTCAGATCTCAGCCTCCTGAGTAGCTAGGATTACAGGCGTGAGCCACCAGCGCCCGGCTCAAGAAATATTCTTGTTCTTAGAAAATAGATCCTTAAGTATCCAAGGGTAACAGATAATTCTGTATAAGCCAGCTCCCAAGTGGTTCAAGAAAATGTATGTTTGGATACATGGAGGGATGGATGATAGATGCTGGATAGATGCATGGATGATGGATTGCTGATAAACAGATGCTGAATAGATGGATGGATGGATAGATAAGTGGGTGGATGAATTGAAGGATGAAAGTATGGAGCAAGCAAATAATAAAGTCAATGGGGCTTTATCATGACAAAGCAAATGTTACCAAGTGGTGAATTTGCATTAGGGGGACGTGAATGTTTGTCAAGCTTGATCTTTAAGTTCTGTAAGTCTGAAATTATTAGCTGTTCTTTAAATTCTCTAGTTTTATATCATTCCAACTCACTTCTTAAAACTATAAAAGAGAAGAATAGCAGACATGTTTCTAAAAGATAACATGCAGTACAGCTGGCCGAAAGAGCCCAAAATTGCCAGCCATCTGTGCAGAAAATAAAACACAAATCACAAACCTCCCCCAAACCCAAGTGTGACGTAGACAGGAACAACAAATAAATGAGGCCCGTCCTTCCGAAGCTTTTTCAGAAGAATATGAAGTAGGCAGGGGCTGGTCCTCAACAACAATCACCATTACTCACTCTCACAAGACATGTTTTCCAGATGCTTCTTTTAGACTCTAAACATTTGTATTCTTAGTTTCATTGATCAAGCTTGGCTAAAGAGAGCCTAGTTTGGACCCAAGTCTGCAGGGTCTAAAGACCTCTAGCTCTTAAGTCTCCTCTGTTTGGACATCTCCGAGAATAATCTAAGGGGTCTAAAAGACATTTCCCAAACTGTTGGCATCTTCCTTCTCAAATCAGCGCCCTTTCTTCTTGCTGAAGCCGGAAACCTGTGTCAAACATCCACACTTCTCACCTTTCAGCAAGCTGTCTGTTCTACCTCCTAAATACTTCCAGATCCTTCCTGTGACCCCCTGCTTCTTTGTTCTTGCCTTGTCTTTCCCTCCTTTTTTTTTTTTTTATGGCACTGAGGCTAATATTTGAACCCACGCTCTTGTGCTTGCTATGTAGATGCTCTACCGCTTAAGCCATGCCTCCCGTCCTCTTTGCTCCATGCCTCCAGTCCTGTCCTGCTTTTAGCCCAAGCTGCGAAGGAAACAAGAATCTATCTCAAAACAATAACCAGCAAAAAAAAAAAAAAAAAAAAAAAGTCAGGCCTGGAGATGTGGCTTCCGAAATAAGAGCACCTCCCTAGCAAGTGTGAGGACCCAAGTTCAAAACCCCCTAGTACCACCAGAAAATAAATATTGATTGTTCACTGAATGCTCACTGAATAAGTGAATAAACTATTCGTTGGTCTGGAGTATATAAATTTGTCATGAGCAAACACAACAGCAGGTGACTTTCTTCATGCCTGGAATAACCGGAAGAAACATTATATTCTATAAACACCTTTGTGATTAATGACTTAAGAAGGCTTTTGTTTTGTTTTGTTTCACATAAGGACTCAGACAAATACACACCTGGGTATGAAGGTGAGACTGATTTCATTCAGCCACTCATATTCTGTAATTCCTGCTTTGCAAATAGCTTCTAAAACTTATCAAACTGTAGTCAGTAAGAGTAAATAGGATATCATCAGAAATCATTATGAACATGGGGAGGGAGGGAGGGATACAAATATATTATTTCTTTCCCATTCTTGAGGAGGTAGAGCCAATCCCCCCAAGCGTCTCCTCATTCATTATGCAAAACCAAAACAATGGCTAGGAGCTTGGCTCAAGTGGTAGAACTCTTGCCTGGCATTCATGGGGCCCTGAGTTCAATCCCTAGTCCTTGAAAATATTCCAACTGGGCACTGGACTGCATGCATGCAATTCCAGTTACTCAGGAGGCTGAGCCAGGAGGATCACTTGAGCCCAGAAATTTGAGACCAGCATAAGTAAGACAGTGAGAGATATTCACCTCAAAAAATAAAAAAAGGCTGGGAAAAAAAAAAAAAAAAAAAGGCTGGGAATGTGGCTCAGTGGTAGAGTGCTTGCCTAACATGCAGGAAGCCCTGGGTTCCATTCCTCAGTACCACATACACAGAAAAAGCCAGAAGTGGCATTGTGGCTTTAGTGGTAGAGTGCTAGCTTTGAGCAAAAGAAACTTAGGGATAGCATCCAGGCCCTAAGTTCAAGCCCCAGGACTGGCAAAAAAAAAAATCTCTTGCTCAAAATTTGGGACTTTTGCTGGGTGCTGGTGGCTCACCCCTGTAATCCTTGCTACTCAGAAAGCTGAGAGCTGAGGATCATGGTTCAAAGCCAGCCCTGACAGGAAAGTCCACGAGACTCCAATAAACCATTCAAAAAACTGATGCTGTGGCTCAAGTGGTAGAGCGCTCGCCTTGCGCTGAAGAGCTGAGGCACAGCACCCAGGCCCAGAGTTCAAGCCCCACCACTGACAAAAAAAAAATTGGGACTCTTGAGCCAACCAAACTGGAGCCCTAACTTAAGAGCAGCTTCACTGACAATGTACATACTGTTAAAAGATACTCAAATATATATGGATTACGTTTTTTTCAAGAGCCTGTCTTAGCGGAGCACTGGTGGCTCACACCTGTCATCCTAACTACTCAGGGGGCTATGGTCTTAGGATTGAAGTTTGAAGTCAGCTGGAGCAGAGAAGTCCCCATGAAACTGTTATCTCTAACCACTCAAAAACTGGAAAGTTGGGGTGGGAAGGCGGCTTAGTGGTAGAGTGCATGCCTTGCATGCATAAGGCCCTGGGTTTGATTCCTCAGCACAATGAGGCTTGGGGATGGGGCCCAAGCTGAGTTCAAGCCCTGCAACCACCACCACCACCACCACCAACAACAAAAAGCAGCCCATCTTACCTTATAAGTATTCCAGAATTTCTGTCTCAGGTCCAAAAATATGTCGTCCTTTCCCTGGAGAAAACTCATACCTGTTTGCAAAACACACAGAATTGTAAAAGATGCTGCCAGAAGGGCACTGATGGCTCAGGCCTGTAATCCTAGCTACTTAGGAGAATGAGGCTGAGATCTGAGGGTCGAGATTCCAAGGGGGTGGGGGGGAATTGTGGCTCCAAGTGGTGGAGCACCCACCAGCTGTTGGGGTAAAAGGCTGAAAGGAGAACGCAAAGCAAGCTGTCCATTCTAAAACTGGGGACATCGCAAAGGAATGTGGTAAATCTTAAATTACAATAGCAGGTGATGGAATTACAGCCAAACAAACAAACAAAACACATTAAAGCAGAATGGCCAGGCACTGGTATCTCCTGCATGTAAATCCCAGCTGCTCAGGAGACTGAGATCTAAGGATCAAGGTCTAAAGCCAGCTCGGGCAGAAAAGTCCAGAAGACTCTGATCTCCAAGTAATTAGCAAAAAGCTGAAAGTGGATCTGTGGCTCAAGTGGTAGCATGTCAGCCTTAGGGTCTGAGGGTGGGGGAGCCAAGTTAAGAATGTGAGACCCTAAATCCAAGACCCAACACACACACACACACACACACACACACACACACACACACACACACACACACACACACACACACACACACACCCCTAGACCCAGCCTTGAACTGGTGACAAACCCAGCCTCTCAGCTCCTATTCTAGCATGCTGGAACTCTAGCTCCCCAATCCCCAAGCTTCACCAACAGTGTGTCCCCCACCCCCAATTTTCCTTCCCTCCCTCCCCTCCCCCAGGCTCTAGCCACCCACCCCCCACCCCAGCCACCCCCAGTACCCGGCCTTCTAACAGCTCCCAGCTCCAGCCTGAGCCCGAACCCCAAGCATCCACCCCGGCTCCCCATCCCCTGGAATCCTCCCCCACTCCCGGCCCCCCAACCCCGGGCCTCGGGGCCCCGTGGCCTCCGTGGGGAGCCCCTCACCCGCGTAGAAGGCCGAGAGGGCGATGGGGCCCCCCACCGTCTGGTCGCACAGCACCTTGGCCAGCACGGCGCGCGGCGCGCGGCCCGGCAGCGCGCGCTCCAGCAGCCGCAGCCACGCGTAGTTGAAGTGGCCGTGGAAGGTGACGGCCAGGGTGGCCACGCTGCGCGTCTGCCGCCAGTCGGCGGGGCCTCCGCGGAGCTGCTGCTGCGCCGCGTCGCCCGCCGAGAAGAGCCCGGCGTACAGCAGCACGTTGGTGGGCCACGGGTAGCGCCGGGCCGCGTGCTGCAGCGCCCGCCACCAGCTCGCCATGCCGGCCTGCCCGCCTGCCCACGCCGCCGCCACCCCTTCCCTCACCGTCCCCACCTGCACCTGTCTGCTGCCCGGCGATTGGGCGCCGCCCCCACCGCGCACACCCAATCCGGTGCCCGCTGCCTGGCCCAGGGGGCGGAGTCCTGGCCTGGCCCCGCCCAGGGCTCAGGGACACTGGGCAGACAGGAGGTGGGTTCGGTCTGTGATGGGCAGAGGGGCTGGCAGGATTCGGAACTTCGTGTGAGTGTGCCTGGCGTTTGAGGGGGGTTTGGGTTTTGGGGGTGTGGGGTTGGAGAGATTGAGGATGTTTCTTAATAGACATGCTTAAAAAAAATGCCCTGGGCTGGGAAGGTGGCTCAGTGGTAGAGTGCTTGCCTACCATGCATGAAGCCCTGGGTTCCATTCCTCAGCACCACATACACAGAAAAAGCCAGACGTGGCGCTGTGGCTCCAGGGTAGAGGGCTAGCCTTCAGCAAAAGAAGCTCAGGGACAGTGCCCAGGCCCTGAGTTCAAGCCCCAGGACTGGCAAAATAAATAAATAAAAATGCCCTTTGAATTGTGCATCATAGAACAGTGGGGTTTGTGGCTTGTGATTTCTCCGTGTGGAAGAAAAGATGTAGCCAGACCCAGTTACCCAAAGGGTGATGTGTTTTAAACACTTATGTGTGAAGCGTTGGTGCTTCCAGTTCATACCGGGTCCTGGGGCATTGTGTCACTTCGCTGGGAAATGTCAAAAGTCAAAATCGGAGGCATTCAGTGAATGCAGCACTGTGTCTGTCCACGGCCTTCGCTCCTCAGACTACCACCCTTAGTGGCCAGGGCCTCCCACCAGCTGAGCTGAGTTCCCAGAGAAGCTCCTAGAAGGCCAGTAGGCACTTACACCACAGATGGAATTTTTGAGCCTATGGAATTTTTATCCCTGATTTTTAATTAAAAGAGTGTGTGTGTGTGTGTGTGTGTGTGTGTGTGTGTGTGTGTGTGTGTGTGTGTGTATGCGTATGCATGCATGCATGTGTCCCAGTACTGGAGCTTGAACTCAGGGCCTGGTTACTATCCCTTACTTTTATCATTCAAGGCTAGTTCCTACCACTTGAGCCATAGCTCTACTTCCAGCTTTTTGGTGATTTAATGGAGAAAAGAGTCTCTCAGACTTTGCTGCCCAGGCTGGCTTCAAACCCAACTTCTCAGATCTCAGTCACCCAAGTAGCTAGGATTATAAATATGAACCACAGGTACCTGGCAATGTTTAAATTTTTAACTTTAATTTTAAAGTAGTTCCAGACTTTAAAAAAAAGTAGCCAAAACAGATAGAACAAAAAAAATGACAAATGGTTCACATATATTCTTCACCTAACCTTCCCCAAACATTGACCTCTTACATAACATGAAAATACTGATGTAATACAGTTACCCAACCTTCAGACTGATCTTACTCAAACAACTTCCAGAAAGTCCTTTGCTCCTGCTGGACAGCGAGTCCTGGTGCATCTTGTCTGATCCTAGATTGATTTTCACATTGCTTGTCTTATTTTATTTTTATTTTACCAGTCCTGGGCTTGAACTCAGGGCCTGGGCACTGTCCCTGAGCTTCTTTAGCTCAAGGAGGGCACTCTGCAACTTGAGCCACAGAACCACTTCTGGCTTTTTCTGCACAGGTGATACTAAGGAATCGAACCCAGGGCTTCATGCAGGCTAGGCAAGCACTCTACCACTGAGCCACATTCCCAGCCCACATTACTTAAGTCTTAATTACATCTTTAATTCTCCACTGTGGGGCATAGAACCAGTTCTTCTGCATGCCATCCCTCAATGTATTATCCCATTATTGAGAGCTAAATTGTGTGTCCCCCAAATTCCCAACCCCCAGATGTGTTTGCAGTTCAAGGGAAGACTCTCAAAGAGGTGATCAAGGACAGTAGGTGTGAGTCAAGTGTCAGAACACCACCCAGCCATGTTGACACTGGCACACACACATACGATTGCTTTAAAATGAGGTCAGTGGGGTAGGTAGTTTGTCTGGTGTCCTTACAAGCTCTTAGGCAAAGACATCCATTTATGCAGAGGAAAGGCTGTCTGGAAGGAAAAGAGAGAGATTCAGAGTGAAACCAACCTTGGTCTTGAACTCAAACTCTAGCACTGTGAAAAGGTAACTTCTATTGTTTTTTGCCCCTAATCTGTTTTGTTTTATCACAGGAAACTTCTCTATTCCATTCTTGGCAATCTTGCAGTTTCTTTGACCTTTATCTACCTATTGATTCAGTGGTTTCTACTCTGCTCTGTTCCTGAGTAAATCTGTCGGACTTTTCCAACGAGGTGCAGTTCTAGCTCACCTGCCCGTCACCTTCTTTGCTTATATCCCTTTTGTGTGGTTTTCTGGTTGTGGCTTTAACATATTACCCCCCCCCCCCCAAAATGGGATGGCTTTATACAAATCTGTTGTCATATGTATGTGTGAGTGTGTGTATCTGTGTCACCTGTAAAAGTCTGTTATTGAAGTCTATATTCCACAAATAAACAAAAATGTGGTATTTAGTTTTTTGTGCTGTCCTGTTTTGTTTTTCCCCCAAGGCCAGTACTCTACCATATGAGCCACAGCTCCACTTCTGGCTTTTTTTGGTAGTTAATTGGAGATAAGAGTCTTATGGATCTTTTCCTGCCTGAACTGGCTTAAAACTATGATCTCTCAGATCTCAGCCTCCTGAGTAGCTAGGATCGCAGGTGTGAGCCACCGGTGCCAGGCCAGAATCCTTTTGTGCATATTTTGACAATAAAAACATTTTGTTCTTTTTTCCTTCGAGCCACTATTAGTGAACGCTGGGTCCCCTAATGAAGCACGGGAAGACCTGAGCGGTCTCAGGGTTGCCACCTGGAGTTGCTTTCAGGGATTGCAGTCTTCTCTGACATTGCTCAGAAGGGTTTAGTGAATGAAATCTATTTCTCACAAGCCATTTACTTTAGAAATTTTAATTTATAAGAGAAAAACCCATGCAGATACTAGAAGACCAGGCAGTGCAGAAGAACATGAAATGTTGTAATATGGATGTTGCAATGTCTTTATGTTCATCTTCATCCTCAAATCCCTAATCACAAACGCCTTCACCTACTCTAGAAAAAGCATCCTTGTCATAGCTAATTGCAAAAAAAAAAAAGAAAGAAAAAGCATCCTTGTGCAGCATCTGCAGAGACTCGTGCCTGAAATCCTAGCCACTCAAAAGGCTGAGACAGAGAATCATGGTTCATAGCCAGCCTGGAAAGCAAATCTTCAAGACTCTTACTTCCAATTAACCAGTAAAAAGCTTGGAGTACAGGGGGGAGGAGGGAAAGGGGGAGAGGGAAGAAGGGGAAGAGGGGAGGAGGGGGAAGAAGAAGAAAGGGAGGATGGGAGGGAGGGAGGGAAAACAAGCAAGCAAGCTTTTAATGATACCCATGGTGATCCGTTTGGGGTGCAGTGTACCCAAATGGTAGAGAACCAGTTGTGAGAGCATGAGTGAGAGGCTCTGACTTCAAGTCCAGACACTAGTGTGGGCACATGCGTGTGCTTGCATGCACACACACACACCCTTGTGTCTGTTTTAGAAACCATGGATTCATACTTAAAAAATGAGAAATTCATGGTTATTTACTCTTTCTCTCTCATCAGTTCCAACTCCTGATTTTTGTCACTTAATTCTATTTTTTCTAAGGTCTCCCTTGTCTTATTTATTATTTAGTTGGGTGTTATTGGTGTGAACCACCATTTCCTTTCTCCTTTGCAGCCAGTAATATGCTGAATTGTGATGATCAGATTTACCTGTCAGTCCATCCACAAGCCAATCATTTTAACAACATTCTTTAGCCACTCGAGTGGAAAAGAACATCATAAACTTGAGAACAAAAATGAAAGCTATGACCATTCCCTTGACCTCCACCTGAGCTTCCTATGGGAGCGGGGAGCTTGTCTTTGTTTGTGCTTCTAGAATCTAATGGGAAAGATTGTTATAAATCAATATTTGACAAAGGATGAAGCAGTTTTCCTGATTTCTGCACATTGGATTTACAGTTTACTTTTCTAAACAATAAAGTTAACTGTTAACTCTCTAGAATTTATTTTGTAGAATGTAATCCACAGATAACTGGAGGCTGCTTTAAACATTAAGTGCTTGTTGAGCATGGTGACACACCTAACACTCCAGAGAGGCAGGATACGTTTGAGACTAGCCTGGGCAATAAAATAAAAACTTTTGTCAAAGATAAATTTAAAAAAAAAATAAGAGCTGGACACTGATGGCTCATGCCTGTTATCCTGGCTACTCAGAAAGCTGAGATCACCGGGCGCTGGTGGCTCACGCCTGTAATCCTAGCTACTCAGGAGGCTGAGATCTGAGGATCGAGGTTCAAAGCCAGCCCAGGCAGGAGAGACCGTGAGACTCCTATCTCCAATAAAACCACCAGAAAGCCGGAAGTGGCGCTGTAGCTCAAGTGGTAAAGTGCTCTCCTTGAGCTGAAGAGCTGAGGGACAGCGCCCAGGCCCAGAGTTCAAGCCCCACAGCTGACCAAAAAAAAAAAAAGCTGAGATCTGAGGATTTCAATTCAAAACCAGCATGGGCAGGGAAGTCTAACTGTTTTGTTTTGTTTTGCAGTCCTGGGACTTGAACTCAGGGCCTGAGGACTGTCCCTGAGCTTCTTTTGCTCAAGACTAGCACTCTACTATTTGAGCAACAGTGCCACTTCTGGCTATTTCTGTGTATGTGGTACTGAGAAATGGAACCCAGGGCTTCATGCATGATAGACAAGCACTATACCACTAAGCCACATTCCCAGACTTAAAAAAAAAATCTCCAATAATCTTTTCCCCAAATAATAATAATAAAGCTGGAAGTGGAGCTGTGTCTATAGACGTAGAATGCTAGCCTTGAGCAAAAAAACAAACAAACAAACAAAAACCCCTCAGGAACAGCACCCAGGTCCTGAGTTCAACCCTCAGTACTGGTGCACACACAAAAGAAGAAGAAGGAGAAGGAGGAGGAGGAGGAGGAGAAGAAGAAGAAGAAGAGG